CATGCCTGTATTGCTGGGTGTATTCATATACTCTGTTGCATGCATAGACACTTCTGATAAAGGTTCAATGCTTCATTTTTACAAATTATTTTTATTGCTATTGTCTCTGAGCTGATTCAGGGGATTTCTTTTCAACACATGCTAGATGGAATGAAGCACACAGAAAACACAACCCCAGAAACAGAAGACTTACTTAAAAGGTTGTTCAAATTACTAGCTATGTTCACCGTGTCCTTTAACAATGTGAACTCCAGAAGTTCATCTGGGAATGACAGGTCCTTCTGCTCTATTAACAGATTCTTGAACGTAATCCAGAATCGCACAAAACCATGAGAAAGAGAGGATTCAGCATGTTGTATTCTGTTCAAACAAATGTTCCCATTGTATTGGACTGAGTTATTGAAGATTAATACTCCCTGAAAAGTGGGAACAGAGCCCAGCTCATTTTATGCTTCCCCAGCATTCACAGATGCAGAAACATCCCCATTTACAGATTCAAATCCCCACATGAGAGAGTTGTCATAGGTCAGAGTACACACAGAGAACATCCTGTTACCGAACAGCTTTAAGAAACTCATGTGCTCCACCATGTTCTGGTTGTCCCTCTGTGTCCCAGTAGCACAGCAAAAGTGGTAGTGCTGACAGAGACCTCTTCCATGCTCCAACATCTCCTACCCTGAAGAGGGTAGAAGCTTGGAAGCAGAAGTTAATGCCCTGAAGATGAACAAGACTCATTACTACTTAATTTACGATGTAAAGTTTACTAGGGAGCATGCCAAAGAATTTGGTTATTCTTAGCTCTGCTATCCTGGTAGAGCTTGTGAAGCCTTAAAGCATGTCTGGTATTGCACAAACCTGGAAGACAGCAGCCCTCGTTCAGGCAAGTGCAGCTTCCCTCTTTCTCTGGTTTGTAGAATATTGCTTGGAAAGCAGTATTTTGGATCTAAGTACTTCTATCTGCTAGAAAGATCTTTAAGACTATAATCCAATCTAATAATCTTACTAAAAAATACTTAGTGTTCTAAAGCATGAAAGATTTAACAGCTGCAAAGAACTGTATCATTCTTCATCAAATTTTATGCAAGACAAAGTAATTTGTATAGAATTCTTTCATCTCTATTAAACTTTGTAGTGGTTTAGATCCAAGGGTTTGATTTAAACTCAGCACTAAAAAAAAAAGAAGACTAGCTGTTTACTAGAAGTCTTTTGTGAATCTGATATATAATCAAGTTTCTTCCTTTCTGACTAAAAAAAAAAATGTAGGCATTTCATGTATTTGTTTCTCTTGGGTTTTTTTTGCTTGTCTCTCCTCTGGTTTTCTCCCTTTTGGAACTAAGAAAAACAGAAGCTGAGAAACAAAAATAATATAAATCTATCTGTTCTAGATTCTGACATCATTCAGATGGCAACAGGGCTTACCTACGAATTTACTAAAATCTGTTTGTGAGTTTGACATGTGCCTTGGGCTGTTTCACTGTCTGTTAGGTGAGCGGGTTACCAACTCCAGACCTGACGTGGCTTCTGAACGGCAAACCCGTGCTACCCGATGGCACCCACAAGATGCTGGTCAGAGAGACTGGAGTTCACTCTCTGCTGATTGATCCTCTCTCACAAAATGATGCTGGAACTTACACTTGCCTTGCCACTAATAAAACAGGCCAAAATTCATTTAGTTTGGAGCTCACCGTTGTAGGTAAGAATCACTGAAAACCTAGTCACAATGATGAAGTTATTTGTATGTGCTTCTTCAAACTTATCTTACTTAACTTCCCTACAGACAAGTATAAATAAATATTTAATCCACTGATAGCAGGAGAGTTTGACAGCTCTAAAACTCACCTGATGGAGGGAAATGGACCTAGTGCTCAGCTGATAGGTGCACTCCTGTTATTAACAGAGGGCTGTAAGAATTCTCTCACCATCGCTTTGCCTCTCTTGTCCTGTCAAAAAGATATTCTTAATTTTCTGTCCCGAAAATGCTTAGGGTTTGAATTCATAACATATGTTCAGGTCTCCTAGATTTCAGTCCCAGTTCTATTAGTATTAAAATGTTTTTAAATAGAAAAATATAAATCTGAATACTGTAAGAAAGCCTTACAGGATGTGAGATGCTGCAATTCACAGATCATAATTTCCTGCAATAGTAGGATGTTTAGATCTATTAGGTATGCACAGATGTTTTCATGAACATCAGTTCTGCTTATTATTTTCTTTATGTTCCCTTGCAGAGTCTGTCACGGCATTTCACTTCTCTTCCAGTATCCCATTAAAAATTCACAACCTATTTTGATATAACAAGAATAATTTTTGTTCATGTTCTTCCAAAGAGGAACAAAGCAAAGAATAAACTATGTGTTGTTCAAGAATTCTTTTTCACTTTTCCAGCAAAGGAAGTAAAAAAAGCCCCCATGTTTTTGGAGAAGCTTCAGAACTGCGGTGTTCCTGAAGGGTACCCCGTAAGATTAGAGTGCAGAGTTGTGGGAATGCCACCCCCCGTGTTTTACTGGAAGAAGGACAATGAGACCATCCCATCAAACAGAGACAGGATGAGGTACTCTACCACTGTACCTATGCTTGCAGTTTCTTCTGGCTGGACCAACTGTTTCCATGAAAACCTGTGTGATAAGTGCAGGTGATGTTCTTCCAAAAACAACTTCTTTCACCCATGTAAAGTTTTAAAAAGCTGGCTTCACCATGAGGGGAACAACAGCTCTTTCCTTGGTTCAGAACAAAGGCCTGGAGCATGACAGGCCACTGCTTCAGGGAGTGCTGACAGACCATATGACACAGCATGTGTATGCATCTTTTTAGCAATGATGCTATGATATGGTATTGTAATTTTCATTTTAGCACCTTATTCTCTCTCTAAACTATTTTCTCCTCAGTTTAGTTCTAATTATGGATGACTTCAAACTACGAACAGTTACAGTGTGGTTTTGAATGCCTCAGAGTATGGGATACTGGAGAGTTTAGCACATCAGATACAGAGGCTGATTACAAAGTTTGGTCACAAACATAGGCAAAGACTTTGATCCCATGCTTACAAAATGCAATAATATTCAGGCTCAGCTCTTGCATTCAAATCCATTCACGAAGTTTTGCAAAAGAAAAGCTGATTGAATAATATGTCTGGCTGTAATTAATAAGAAATTAATTGCTTTCATTAATTTTTTTTTTTAAGATTTCTACTTCAGCATAGATCTGACTTTTAGTATTTTATTTCACTTGGCTCCAGCTAAGGATTTGATGCAGTCATTGGATCTCTGAGTTCAAGAAGTGCTACATTCTCGTATGCATACCCTGCAGGCTATCTGTCTGTAAAGAGAACTGGCTCCACAGCAGCACTTGTTATGCATGCACACCTAGCATAATGGAAAGCTCACTTGAAACAACTCTTTCAGTGGTCTCCCTCAGAGATTGCTGTCCCTCTCCAAAAAGCCCACCTGACTCTGGTCTTCTGTAGCCTGTAGTCTTTTTTCCTCTGCCTCTAGGCAAATTACTCAGGGACTTATATCAAGTAGTGGTACTTTCACAGGAATTATGGTTATACACATGCAAACACTGCAGTTAATGTAAAATGAAAAGTTGTCCTAAAATGCCTCATCTCCAGTTGTTTCACAGATGCTTAGAAAACATGTTTTTGCTTCAGCTCAGCAGAGGAATATCTAGGGGAGGCCTCCCACACCTCCCCATGCCAGGAGCTCACCTCAGACTTAGGACACATCTGCTGTTTCAGCCAGTCATGACCAAACAGCAAGCTCCCAAGGCTTTGAGTGGTTCCACACAGATCCATCAGAGCCATGGGCAGCGTTGTCCTTGTTTGCCCCTATCTTACCTCATTATGATCTTCTTGCCTGAGGCTGAGACCCTTTTTTGTACCATGATATGGATATGTATGAGCTTCTTTACTGCTGCAGCCACAGCACAAGGCGAATTATGTAGTGCAGGCAGCAAAGGGTGAATGTTCCCTTTTCTATTGGAGCAGTCAGAAGCACAGAATGTCTTCTCAACCTGGAATTCAGTGGTTTGATGTTTCATTCCAGTTCACAAGGAACCAAAATCTCAAATTTCAGAACTTCCTGCAACTTCAAGTATTCTGATGTGCTCATCTCCCACTTCTTCCCGTATAATGAAGGAAACATTTGGGTTGATAAAAAGGACCAACCACAGCCTGGACAGCAGAGGAGCCTCAGTTCTCTGATCTACTAGTGAATAGTTTATCCCAGAAATTGCAGCCAAAAAGTCTTCAATCACTGAAGGGCAAAGGAAGATGAGTGAATAACAAAGCAGATTTCTTTCAGAGTGTTAGCCAAACAAATCTTTAAGATTTTGCCACTCAGTGATTTTCTCATAGAAAAGGGTGCCATAAGAAAGTTTCTGACTGGCTCTGGCTACTGTCATGAAAAATACCACAACTTTGTACAAGCTTTCTCAGTACTTTATGTTACTCTTCCAGCTTCTAAAATACAGCGTGACTGTGCAGCAGCTTTGCATGGGTTTAGTTCACTGGAATTCAAGAAAGAATTCCAGTATTAACACAGAACAACAATTCAGCTCACACTGTCAGACTACAGCTTTGCACAACAGAGAGAACAGATTTTAGCTATACTGATCATTGGTCAAGGCCACACTGAAAGCACTGGCTACAAATGTCTTGGGCTGCTAGCTCTTTGAGAATAGAAGTTACAACTTATTGTTTTCAGATATAACGTACACATTGTAAAATCTCAAAGTTGAGATGCTCTTGAGAAATACTAATTTCAAAACACTTCTTTTCCTAGCATGCATCAAGATACAACAGGGTATGTCTGCCTCCTCATTCAGCCTGCCAAGAAAGCAGATGCTGGCTGGTATACCTTGTCTGCAAAAAACGAAGCTGGTATTGTCTCCTGTACTGCTAGACTTGACATATATGGTAGGTATTGCCTAGTAAGTAACACAAATCAGAATTTATTTTATTCAGTCCCAGCCCTCACCAAGTTCTTAGTCTGTAAATTGCTGGGTTTGACATGGATTAGAAATTAGCATCACAGCATGGCCACAGCTTAATATGGCCCCTAGGAGAAAGTACAATGATACAGCTATATGTCCAAATTACCTCTTCTGCACCGCTTCAAAGACAGGCAAAGAGAAAAAACAGTGGAAAAATTTTGCACCATATTTTCTACTCCCATTTTCCACCTTCCAAATTCCCAAGATGCATAAGTATATAATAAACATATTCAAGCTGAGCCTTAACTCAGTTCCCTCTGACACATGCCTGTGCTACAGCCCTGACTTGAGATGGAACAATAAACTGCACACAGGAAAGTAGAGCCCCTTTTCTACGGAGCACATGTAGTGCAAACTATGCCTAATTAATGGAGGCTACTTTGCATCTAATGTTTGTCTAGGATCCAAGAACTACAACATATCATTTAATTACTGTGTATCTATGCCAGAACTGTTAGTTAAAACAATTTATCTAGAACAAGAGAGTACTTTGATCACTTAACCAGCATAACGAAACAGAAAACATATTCCACAAACCGTTGGATTACAGCTGCATCCTCAAAGGAAAAAAAAACCAAACGTGTTCAACGCTGTATTTCTCATCTTTTTTAAAAAACACGCTTAACTTCTAGTGATAACCACAAGTCTCTGGTGGATCCCTGTTAGTTTTCTGCCACCTTGTGGTGAAATTTTCATATGAACGATTCGAGGTATAAACAGGAAAAAAGATGTAAAGTAAGAAATGCTTCCTGATTACAACCATACTTTCTAAGGACTTTGCAGGTCTTACACACCAAAGGATGACGGAAATAACTTTCCTTTGTGCTATTTTGAATGGATGGGGTTGGAGGGTTGAAAATATAGTCTGATATTTGCAATTCTGTGTGCAAAGTAAAGAGCACAGTACATAATGAATGTATTGGTCAAAGAGCAACAAATCGGGGGCTGCAAAAATAAAGTTGTTTCTCTCTCAAATATTTCCAGATAGACAGGGTCAAAATTCATCATGGAAAGATTCATCACGGAAAGACATATTCTATCAATGCTTAACATGTAGATTGTAGGTCTCTCACACTAAGCTATTGCCCGAGTATTGTAGCCTGAACTTTTCTACTCATTCATTTTAATTGCTGACAGATATGTTTGTCCAGTTTGGGTGCTGACCTGGAGGTTTTATGTGGGTAAATACTGGCAAAGATGATACCGATTTCCTCTTTCTGAAGTGCTTTAAGAATAGCTGTTAAGCTTTATATAACAGCTAAATATTCTTACAAAATTGTAACAGTATTTGTTCACAGAGGAACATACTGAATATTACTGCTAAGTTATTTAACGTGTGTCTTCAGATTGCTTTTCTTTCAATATCTTAAAAAAACACTAGGAAGTGTGTTACTAGCTATAAGTAGAAAAGGGAAATAAAAAACAATCACTTCATTAAAAAGACACCCTGTATTACTACTTTGAAATTAAATACCACCAAAAAAAAAAATCAGGACGAAAAGTCTGACAGACGATGGAGTAGCACAAAATGGAATAGCATGTTTCTACAGTGTGAAATTTTTTGGAACTTTGGAGAAGGCTCCAAGGATTAAATGACTTAATTTTGGACTTAGTGAAATTCATTCACATTCAAGAGGTATAGAATTCCATCTCCAGACTTCAATAAAAATACTCCACACAGAAACTAAGTAAATTACAATATTTGAAGGAACAGACCCTAAAAGAGGGAACAACAATGCTGTGCTCTCTTCAAGGGTATGGGAAGTGCCTTTTCAGTTGTGTGCATTGATGCCTGTTGTTTCATTGCTAACTAGAGGTTTACACAGCCTATTCTGTTTCTGTTGCTTCAGCTCAGTGGCACCGTCAAATTCCACAACCAATAAAGCTCCGGCCTGGTGGCAGCTGGTATACAAACCTTACCAGTCAAGGACTCGACATTTTTTCTGCCTTCCCAACTACTGAAAGCCCTATGCTGTTTTCATCCCCAACCCAAAAAGTGGTGGAGAGTGAAGAACTTTGAAAAACAAACAATTGTTCCAGTTACACCCACAGAGATACTAGAACTGGGGGTGGGTGCCGGCGAGGGGAGGGGGGAAGAAAGAGGTACAAGTCAAGATGCTCAAGGTTTACAAGCCACTTGTTTGTAATTAAGTGTACTGCTGCTGCAAAAGTTGCAAGCAACATCTCATACAAGACTTTTGTGTATTATTTTACTGCAGGATAATTGTGGTATGGAGTGTTGTGCAATAAATTCAGCACTGTGTAGTTTGCTAAGAATTACATAGTAAACATAGTTTTCGGCACCTAAAAGCCAATACCACTTTCACTGCTTGAATTAAAGCTACTGTATTGTAGCAAGCCATGGTAAGGATTGATGATGTTTAGCTGGAATGTTGCCAGTGAAAACATTAATATTACAATAACAACAGTCCTGAATGAGGGTAAACAACAAGACTTTGAATGTAATTCTAAAAAACATGCCAGATAATCACAAAGCACAAGTTAAAGGGAAAAGATGTAACTCATTTTTATATATTATGCCAGATAACTTTAGAATTTTTGAACTCAAGACTAGATAAATATAGTGTTTCATGTAGGTACAGCTGTATACCCTATATATTTATATTTGTGTGTGTGTACTCCATGAAGTGTGTATTCATGGTGTAAGGATTCATAAAGTAAGGCACAGGGCACATGTATAGGATGCTAATTTGATTGAAACCAAACTGAAACCAAAATTCCTGTTGTCTGAAGCATGATCTCCAGAGCCCATAGATGAAACTATTTTCCAGATGTGCTTCATACTTTTTTCTTTACAGTGTTCGTGACTCTCTGCCTTTAAACACAGGTGACATCAAGCTTGGAACACCACTGTTTTTAAACATCAATCTCTTTTTCTCAGTTTGTAATGTGACTTAAAAAAAAGTCCATCTACCATCTAGCTTAATTTTAACAAACTGCAAAGGAATTATGAACTGGAGGAATTTCAACATTCACCATTAGTTAGGAAATTGAGGCGTGGTGTCTGCTATAAAGACAGTGAAAATTCTGTTAATACATAAAACGTATGAAGTTAAGCAACAGTCACATGCAAAGAGATAAAATAAGAAATAAATAATAAAATAAGGCAATTTCATGGAAGTGCAATAGAAAGTGTAAAGTGACAACACATAATGGTTGAATATATTTAGCATCTAGACAGCCTTATTATCTCCTGGCACTTAGAATCTGTGACCATCTAAGATGATTTCCTGCATCCTTCCTGAACGTTATATATGCAAAGAAAACAGTGAGGAGTTCTCTTAAGAGCAAAAGGATAGTGGATATAGCCAGAGACTGAGACAGCCTTCCATTGGGTTTCCTGCACATACAGTTTATGTAGTCTTTTCAACTGTAGGTTCCCTAAGGGTTTGGAAGTGAATTTCTTGTATTGTTCCACTTCCCACCTGAACAAAGACCATAAAACAAAACCACTGTTATAACTTCCATGCTGTTGTTGTAAGTCTCAGGCGATTCACCCCAGACTGAACAGCCAGCTCAATTATGTTCTTATCCTGAAAGACAAGACAAGGTGGAGGTATTTCAGTGGGAAAGAAGAAACACCAGTTGTTGCCCATGTTGTGCCTCCTCCCTGGCAAACAGAACCAATAGCTATTAAAAGTGATGCATTGATTCAAGTGACTTCAGTTATGGGGTGGCCAACTTGAGAGACATTATGGGTCTGATTTTCCAAGATACAGAATCTACTGCTCCTCTTACCTTTGCTTGTTTTTAGGATGGCTTAGGGATTCCAAAACTAAACCTAGACTGAGTCAAAGTCAGGCAAGCCAAAAGTAAACTTTTCCCATATTATTAACTGCTCTTGGGAAAATAACCCAAATCAAGTTAATGGCTTTTTCTTATTTATTGCTTATGCTGTTGGGAAGTGGGAAAAGAGGAAATTAAGATACAAAAGATCAAATTCCATTCCTGTCTACAGCCCTGGTCTTCCCATGCTGGAACTGAAGAGCAGATTTTGATCCAAACTATTCTAAAGTATTCTAAGATTTGCCATCAGAGTTTCTACCTAGCACAGGCTTAGTCAAGCAAATATCTGCTTAGGACTCCCCTGTGGCTGCTTTGCGTGAGGGGTTGGACCAGATGACTTCCTGAGGTTCCTTCAGACCTAAATCACTTCCTAAATACTTCCTAAATTATTTTACTTTCTGCTGCCTGTTTGAATATCCTATGTGGATTAATTTACCTATTGACTGAGAAACTAGGAATATTCAAGCAAGCACAAAGTTCTTTTTGACACTGAGAAGCTGATGATTAAGTTTTATGATGTTTTTTAAAATATACATTCAGTTATTTGGAAGTGGGAGGACAAGAATCTATTGGTGAAAGGCTTTTCCCAAATAGCTATGAAGGATTATTGTGTAGTCATTCAAGAAGGGGCCCCAAAAGTGTCACTGAGAGGTAGGCTACAGAGAGATCATGAAAATCTGCCAGCTGAACATTCTCTCCTTCACAGTATTTACTAGAAAAAGGATCAAAACTTTACTCATCACATCTCCCTACATAATGCAGAAGTCCATAATTTACACTGAAAGGAGTAGATCTGATACAAACATAATCAGAATGTGCTCCCATATGGTCTGTACTCATTAAAATTTGCTCGTTGACTGTTACAGGACATTTCTCCTCTGCATATACTGAGCTCATAAAATGAGTATGTAAAGGAAGCTTATGTAACTGGATATAAACACTGTTAATTAGCAGTGCTGATGAGCTCACTACAAAGATAACTTTCTAAAAAAAGACACCAAAATTATGCTTGTTTTGTTAACTGATGCAAAAGCCAAGGGAAGAAGGCTTATGTCAGCAGCAGAGACAACGCTGAGTTATCACCAAACATGATGCTGTTTGAGTTCATGTCATGTGAAGGACGGAACTATCTAATCATATCATGTCAAGATGCACAAGAGATGATGCAACTGTGCTCCCTTCCTGAGCAGTTTGGCTGTTCATTGTTTTTGTTTAATTGAATAACTGACTTGACTTCACACGAACAGGGTTGTTTCAGTGTCTTAGTCAGAGCAGGCTACTGCAACAACAAGAATCAATGTTAGAACTTCCACTGAAATCCGTGTTAGGTATTATCTCCCAAAAGTTCACTAAATCATCACAATGTGGAGCATAACTTTGTATCATTGAGATACAGAAATGCTCAGGTTTGTAACCTCTCTTTTTTCTGATTCAGAATCTTGTAAGTTTATTTAGTTTCCTGCATTCTCCTGCTTCTGGGTCTGTATACAATCAAAATCAAGGCACAGTACATGTAAAAGAGCAGAAATTACAACTTTTGTATTGTAATTCTAAAAAAGCAGAAGTATTATCTTTGCTTTGAAATTTTGGTCCAGCTTGGTGTAAACCCAGTCCTCAGCAGCATCACACAGCAGTTTGCATTGATACCATTGGACTTGGTGCCTTAAAAGAGCTGGACTGAGTTACCTTGCTTCTATATGGAAAGTGGAGCCTACCTTCTGAGTGCCCCACCTCTGCTAACGTGAGGAGAAGGTGAGAGCACACACTTTGAGTTCAAAAAACCAAGTCTGCAGTCTTTAAATTTAATATGTAAACAACTGCCAATTCCAACTGTTTACAGTAATCACAGGCACTTCAAAGCAACAAATCTGGAATAAGAATTCCTTTAAGGACTACGTTCTTAATGCTGCAGTGTTTAAAAGCATTAGTTTCTGGAAAATGCATTCATACAAAATGATTAGCAAAACCCAAGTATTTTAAACATTAAATATTGGAGAAGTGGTTCATTGCTAATTGTGTTACTATTTCTAACACAAAGATGTTCAGTCTGAGCTTTAGAATTCTATTTTATATTTTTTCTTTAATTAAAGTTGATATTTTTTATTTTCTGATCCAAAGTTATCCTCACTGAAAAGAAAAATGTTAACATCAATTTTAAAGTCTATTTTAAGTGCCTATGAAAGGAAAAAACAAGCACCTGCCTGTTCAGTAATGTATTTCCCTTATCTCACCTAAACTTAAATAAAGGCTTCAGAGTTGGGTACAAGACCGCGTCCTTCACGCGTCCAGGTAACTGCAAAATCACGCAACAAGCCCAGAGGTTTCCTCTGAACTTTGCTGTTCTGGAATACAATCAGACCTGACATTATTTACAAGAAAATCATAAAATACTGTCAAGTTATATACTAGTCATGTTTCTAGCAGGTAGTGGTGAAATGTAGTTGTTGCTTTTTTAAACAATTCTTAGAATAAATTTACTTTGGTTTTAGATTATGCTTTCTTTTTCTGATAACTTCATCCCCTTCATCAAAGTTTGAAGGAACGAGTTTTCTCAGGCATACCAGAGCAGAAGCCAAGGAGTCTTTAAGGCAGTTTGCGTGTTTTAAAGGTCAATAGGTTTGCCTAATTCTCAGTATCTTGGAGAATGAGTTTCAAACCTGTGCTTAAACATCTACTTCTATCTACGGACTATCACAGCTGAACTTCATTGTGTCTCAAAAATTCCTGCAGAGTATGCCTGCTACACTGATCACTCAGCCCACACACTCACCCTGAAACATCTGTCTACTGGGTCTAGACCAACACCCCTGCAAGTTCCTCTGGGCAGTAGGGCACTGGAGACATGTTACAGAGGACCTCTATTTTCAACCTTTGGCTACGTATTCAGCACTTGAACAAGTGAAACTTGGAGAGGGCCAACAAAACACAAACCATGCTTAATTTCACTCTTCCCTATGTACATCTTCAACTCGAACAATTTAGCATATTCTCTGTATAACGGGCCACTAGCAGACTTTGGAATGAGTTTTAAATTAACAGCAGATGCAAGCCCAACCTTTGAAGGAAGCTGGATCTTATAGCTCGTAAACAGAAAAGAACAGGGGAAAAAAAAAAGTGTCCCATAACATTTGCTGGTACTGATTTTGCTTTCCAACTTAACTGTGTTTCTCACCTCCTACCTGGCTTGATTGCTACATACTTCTGTGCCTGCTAGGTCAGAGGCAATGTTCTTAAGACCATTTTAACTCGGCTACAGCTCCATAAGCTAAAGCAGCTCCTATACATGGTATGATTCCCTCTGAGCAACACAAGCTGCTTTTATCGATGCTTTCATACTTCAAGTTGACTATAGATACAAAGAACCATTTATTGCACAATACAAAGAACTCCTCAGCCATATGTGCTGTGAATTTAAGTGGAGCTCTCCATTTGTATCAGTGGGAAATTCTGTTCAGGAACTGCCCTAAAGGATTAGGATCATGCAATCTGTTAACAGCAGGCAACACGGTTTTGTAAAGAAATGGAAAAATACCAAAGAAATTCTGAAATTTAAAAAAAAAAAAAAAAAAACATGACTAGGCACCTCAGGCTGCAGGAAGCCATTCAGAAATGAGCTTCTTATTCCTTGGAGTTACATAGGCAGACATTTTAAATAAATTATGTTATATTTTAAATTATATTTTGCATGCTAATTTCTGCACAAATGAAAACTGAATTACAAATTAAAAAAGCAGACAATACTAAATGGTACTCTTTACTAGAAAATATATTTAAATACTATACATGGGGTTGCTTTGGGTTTTTTAAAGCTATGTTTTCCTGAAATGTAATGAAAGGTAAGAATAAAGCATTTTTTTTAAAGTGCCCAAGTACCCGAAGAAATCAATGTTTGTCACAAGATATCTGTGTAGAGGAAACGCTGAACTGCATCTTCAGTGAATAAACATGTCTTTATTCTCAAGTGCATTTGTTTTTTCACTGGACATTTTCTAGAGATAGAACAGCTGAACATATTTAGAGCAAAAAGAAGCTGTTCTGTAAATTCTTCTTGAATTTTAAAATTCTAGATAATTTTCACTCTTAAATTACAAAAAAAAAAAAAAAAAAACCTGCATCCATATTTCTTACATCAAATAGCTGGAAATCTAAGTGTAAGGATACCCACCTTAAGGCAAAAGGCTTATTTTAGAAAATTAAACATTCAACTGGAAGTCTGGGGGTTTTGTTGTTGTTGTTTGTTTTTTTAATTTATGCCTAGTGAATCACATCACAGTAGGGACTTCCACAAAGATTTCACCAGGGAAGTTCTACTTTATAAGGTAGAGGAAACTTAGCTAAATACTAAGAAAAACCTAACAATACTCATGCTTCCTCATGTGACTAAGTTGTAATGTCATTGACATTACAAGACCGTAACTAAAGTTAGCAACATTTTTACTTTGCAGAATTTGTACTGCAGCACTATTCAGGAATTCAGTCAACAACTGAGCTTTGCTCTGTGTGCATGTATAGTATAAAATAGTGCCCTACATACCTTATAAATGGTGAGATGGAAAATGGAAGTCCAAAAAAATGGAATTAATTAAAGTTGCAAGACAAGCTAATACACATCCACCGTTGACCACAATACTTCAACAGGAAGAAACCACTGACTTTTCATTACTAACATACATTTTGGGAATGTTCTACCCTAGATTCTCTTTCAGCCACTGAAAGTGCAGTGAAAAGTCACTGCAGTTAAAAATGTCACTTCAGTTCTGAGTCCAAAAATAACTCTAGTCACTTTGTCAGAACAGGGTGATGGGATTCAAAGAATTATAGAAACTGAGTATCAATAGCTACTTCAAATAGAAACCCCTCCAGTCTGAACCTTTTAGAAGAATAAAAGTTAATTTCCCATAAACAGTTCATTAGAATGTCTCACTGGTTTTCAATAGTGAAATGTGGGTGTAGCATGCAACAAATATTTACTGGAGCAAGCACTTCTCATCCCCAATGTTTTCACAACAACATGATTCTAGAATTACAGTATACTGATACTATAAAGAGAAGTATTCCAGTTTTGCAGTGCTGTTCAGCAGGACAAAAAATGAATGAGCAGACAAAACTCAGTCACTAAGAATTTGTAATTATTAAACTGAGCCATTGCCCCAAAAAGCTCTGCCAGATCAACAGACAGACAGCTATCTATACAATACTGAAAAAAAACCTTACCCGGCTGCCTTCAGTACTACAGTAAATTGGAAACTCCAGCTCCTAGCTCAACACCACACCCTCCCAAGAAAGAAAAATAGGACAGCCTTACATAAAATCACAAGTATTCCACTAGTAATATTACTAGTTATCATCAAGATGAGATCAGTAAAACATTCACATCCCACTAGCACAACCAAATCTGAGAGAATGGGGATTATAATCTTATATTGTACAATAGCAGAGATTGATGCAACAACCTGATTTACAAAGTGTTCACAAGCTATGTACTGCACTAAAGTGCTTTTTAGGACTTTGCTTTCAGTTCTTAGTAATTTTCATAACATGACCACAGATATTTTATATTTTGTGTTGGTTTGTTCCTCTTGAAGTGACATTACTATCATTCAATAATTCACTGCATATAACACCTTATTTTTATAATTATATCTGTCATCATACACAGTAGACGGTAAATTACAATGCTGCATGAAAGAAACAAAATCAGAAGAAAAATGGATGTTAAGCATTTTTATGCATATTACATATAAACTGCAGTGTCATGTCCCACAAAAATCACGTTTTATGCCAGTAATGCAGAAACACATCAGTAACAATGTTCTTGGATGCTAATCTGGAATTTATACTTTTGTATTGTACTAGCCTTCCCACCTAAGATTTCAAAGGCTACCTTTCACTGAGCCAAGCTTTCCTCACCATAGAACTGCACAATTTATTTGCATCATATTTCTGTTTCAGGATGGAAAACTCAGTACTGTGCACTAGCAGTGGAGGTGAGAGAATATCTGCCTGAAGTTTACAGCTAATAAATCAGTGTAAAATGGCCCAGCATTTAATTATTTAAGGATTGCATGGATTCTTATTATATACATAAACTCACCACTTAATGATAAGTAATATTCGAACAGTATTAACGTGGCTATATGATGAACAATAATTCTATTCTCTCTCTATAAACTTCTGCAATGAAATCATAATAAGATTTCATATTCCCAGAAGTTGGTTCTGCTTTCTGTATGCTCATACAGTTCAAATGTAATTTATAGGAAGCAAAACCTCACGTTTTATTAATTAATGTTCATTACCATTAGAAAGGCTAAAATATACATTTGAAAACATTCCTGAATGCCAGTGTATAAAGGAGAGAGCAGCTTTTAAAAGTCTGCCCCAGCAGCTTTCACTGCAGGAACAGTCCAAGTCCTGCCTCGGGAAGTGTACTAGCCTGGTACATTTAATAAAGGTTCTGAGGAGACAGACAGTCAGGTCAGGTCTTTGTACGTAACCATTCCTGCAGCAGAGTCCCTCTCCCCCAAAATAGGGCTTAGTTCCTATTGATGGGGTTTTTTTTGGTTTTGTTTTTGTTTTTCTCTAAAAGCTGCATAACTGTTGAAAATAACTCCTATCGAAGCTATTCATTTGTCATTTGAAAGTATTCTAAAATATAAGATGTGGCAGCAGCCAGCAGGGAACCCACCCGCCTTCCCTGCTGGAAACCCACCAGCTGCTCTTCTGGGACAGCAGCTCCTTTTCTCCTTCTCCCTCATGGCTCACACCAGCAAGGGCTTGTTTCTGCAAGCTGCCCACAGCAGCACCAGCACCTTCAGCTCCATAGCCTGCCACCATAACAACAATACCAGCAGTCTAACTTTTGCAGACTCTACATCCTGCTACAAACACATCTGCTTCTCCAGCTGTCCTGCTCCTACCCATTTTTCTACATTCCCAACCTCCTTTCCTCTTCTGCCTTTTCTAAACCAGAGCCTTCTACCCTCCACAAGTGAAAGAAGCAAACAAAGAAAAAGCCATTCAGGCCGTCATCAGGGCTGAAATTAACTCAATTTTTTACCAAACTCTCATCTTTAAGGGTTGATTTACAGAGGGCACATCAAAAGCACTTCTTACTCTAACTGGGAAACAAGCACCATTTGCTACTTGATTCTTCTGCCCACTAAACTGCCAGGACTGCAATAGAAGCAGTGTAACCTTTGGGGTAGGAAAGCCACGAGTGAGTAATTCCTACTGCAGGAATTTCAGTTAGTTGGTGAGGACATATCATAGAAAACATTTTATTTATGATTTACAAAATCTGTTATTGTTTCCAGATAACATAAACTGAAAAAATAAAAACCAAACATTTAAAGCCTACAAAAATCTAGAAGTTTAGGTTATTTTCACAGGAGCATTCTCATTTATGGTATATAATCACATTTGCTTTTACAGCCATTGAAAATAAAAACATTCTTTCTATGACTTGAAACTAGCTCTTTGTCGAGCATACGAGAGACACCATAAATTGGATTAAAGCAAACCTACACAACCTTGGAACCCATACATCAAACTTACAAAGTTTAAGAAAGTTAGTTCTCTGAGGACTAGAACTCCAGCACGTTATAAAACTTTTTCCATGGGAGCCATTTATGTGAAAACAAACCAAAGAATAACTTCAAAGCTGACATAAAAATAAAAGCACAGAATGAAGTTAATTTCTGGTGTTATTCAGTTACACCATGGGACAATTTGGCCCAGGAAAAATATTAAATAGAAAATATTGTCATGATTCAGAGTTAAAAAACAAACAAACAAAAAAAACCCACACCACCACCACCACCACAAACGACCAAACACTTAATAAAAGAAAAAAATTAACTAGGTGAATTTAGAAGCAATTGCCAGAAACATTTCAAATTAAAAATGTTTTTCACCAGCATTAAATAAATTCGATCTCCTTAAATGTGTTTTGATTTAAAGCTCTCAAAGCAAATTTATTTTGTCAAATTAGCATAAAACACAAGCAAGAATGAGCTATTATCGTGCCAATATTACCTTATTCAAGCAGATTAACTCTTGCTAATTATTAAATTACACATGTGGCCTGCTACATATGCTTAGTTTGTAAGAAGTTCTTAGTGTGTACCAAGCTCTAATTAGCTATTTGAAAGTGTTCGGGGTGATAGCTGAAAATGCGCTGCGCGTAAGGATCGCTGTCCGTTGCCATTTTTTGCCCCAGGTAGTGGTGGTAGCTCTCCGGATGGAAGTGTTCACAGTGAAGGCTAATCCATTCTCTTTCAGTACTGTACCTTTCTGCTTCGGCAAGTATTCTAGTGAGAGCCATGATATAGCTCAAAGCCATCTGCAGGGTCTCATACTTGGACAGCTTCTTATCTTGACCCCACTGCGGAACCACCTTCCTCAGGCGATCGAAGGCCGTGTTCAGCCCCTGCATGCGTCTCCTCTCCCTGGCATTGGCAGCCAGTCTCCTCTTCGCCGCGCTCTCCATCCGCTCCGAACCGCACTTCACAGGGCAGCCTGGTCCAGCCCTGCACTGCAGCTCTGGTTCCACGCCTGAATCCAAGGGACTGGCTTTGCAGGGTCTCATATTCGATGCAGCTTCGGTTTCACACACACAAAGATTACTTTTTAAGAGTCGGGTATCTAAAAAGTGCTAGGGAAAGCACGCGTGTGGATAGCCTCCGTACCTCTTGAATCTGTTTCCGGGTATCAATGATGGGATATTTTTCTTAGTGTTAAAAAAAAATAATTAATTTTTAAAAAGCTCTTCTGGTTCTTCTGGAAATGTCTGAAAAAAATCGCTTCTTATTGTTTAAAGAAAGAATAAAGAGTTTTTCATGTCTTAATCTTTCATTCTTTTAATTTCTTGAAACTCCAAGAGATAGAAAACAATGAAAACTCCATTCTCAAAACATAAGTTACGGAAGAAAATTGTCCATTTAACCCAAAAAGGATCTTAGTGGGTTAAAGACACATCAATTTTAAATGATCACTTGAAATGAAAGAAGTTCTGATTCAAATTAGGAGAGTATTTCAAAAGGATGAACGGTTGCGATCAGAAGACATAACCTGGTAACAGAAATCTCTCCTTTCTTGACTCCTGCTGGCAAGCAATGATTGTGTCTTACAGACAACGTGAGGCTTTATAGAAACAGCAAAAGCTGAACAGGTGGTGGCAGGTGGGCGGGCGGCACTCTGCGTCCATCCCAGTACCTTCCCACCCTGGGAACTACAGGGGGAAAAAAAAAACAAAACCAACAAAAAAACCCAGTAAAATCCGAACATTGCAGCCTTCATCTGTTGAGAAGTCTCCCAAAGCCATTCTGTCCAGCCCTAACAACTTGCCATCTGGAGTAGTGTCTGGCTGGCCCCACAAGACTCTGGGCAGTTAAGCAAAAGACCCTTTCAATCTGTTGCAACTCAGGGAAAAAAAAAAAAAAAAAAAAACTCGTGCATTGTAGTATTTGTATATTAAAACATGTGAAAATTCTGGTTAGATAGTAGTAAAGGTAGAAGAAATAACTGTTCTAACGGAACAGAGAATTAGTTTAATTGTATGTGGCTGAGAATACTGCTGTTTTGTGCTATACGTTACCAAAATAAGCAGACTCAAATTATTCAGCACCCTTCAGCACTCGCAATTTAATATTGTATAAAGTACACAACACAGAGAGAAGTACCTTGAGAAAAATGTGGTTTATGTATTCACCTGTCAGCAAAGCCAATGTCTTTAAAATAATTTAAATATATTTAAATACTTAAAATGTAGCTATGAATTTATCTAATAATAATTGTAAAATATTTACACGGGTTGTGATATGGACATACACAAAATATGCAAGTAAACAAATCATCTGGAAACTGCCCTTTTTAATTCACCGTATTAAAGTATATATGTGTATATTCTGTGATTTTTTTAAGCATCTTTTTAGTAATATCCCTTAACAACCAAAGAGAATAAAAGAGAATGTGAAAATATAAATCTGATCAAGGGATCATTTCTGCTACCAGTTGTAATGATAGAGAAGCCACCATATATACACCCATGCCCCACAATCAAAACATCTTTCTTTTACTGTATTTGTGTTATTAAAACCATTCTCTACATAAACTTAAACGGAAATATCATTTAATGATGTATACAAAAGGTACAAAAAAAAAGACCCGCCACACAATGATTTATTATCTGTATTGATTTCAAACTTAATTAAATTGTTACCAGCATTCATAAATTAGGAACTTTTTTCATTAGAGACTGAATACTGTATATTTATTTAGAACTATAGCTCAATTGTTTTCATTATGATTCCAAAACTTGGTGTAGTTGTAAACAGCTGATTAATCCCTAGCAGAAGCAATGACAATGAAATGAGGTTGAATAATCCAGAAACAATAGGATGCAATTGAACACTAATGGACTCCAGCATGACAGATGTGGAACGTAGGCTGTTACGCCCAGTTGCTCTGCTCTTAATATTCTGAATCCTAATGGTCTTGACCAGAGGCAGTAGTTGGGGTAGGGAGTCTCCATTATTCCATTATCAAAACGTATGCCACATCTTCAATTTTTAAAGAAGTAAAACTGCATCACGTTTGATTATAAATGTTCAACATTGCTATCTGTGTGCACTGACCTGTTCTCCCAAACGTAAAGAACGACTACCACACATGAAAATGCTGTTTTCTGATTGACAATTTCTGATGATTTGTGTGTGCGAGAGAGTTGAGAATAGCACCTCTCAGAAAAACCACACAGCCATATGTCTTCCACAGAAGGGTCAGTAATTAGAACTTGTGAGATACTTCTTTTTCTGAAGACACTTCATGGGAAGTATTGCATGTGCAGTAGGAAAAAAAAAAAACCCACACCTCTGATCTTCATGCTATTGCTAGAGCATATGTCAGTGCCACAGCCTTCTATGCCTGAATAACTTTGTTAGTTGAATCTTTTGTCTCTTAAATCTCAGGGGATGTTTAATGTAGAAGAACATAATAAAATTACGGTGGCTTTCAAGTAAATAAATATGGTGCATCCTCGTGAGATAGCTATTACTCAATTCAGATAATTAATCACTTTTAGTTTTAAGAGTGTTATTAACTTCATACCAAAAATATGAAAAGCACCCCTTTAAAGTACTATATGGTATAATACTGTATTTTTCATTTGTCAAGCAGTTTTCCTATTTTTCACTTAATATGTCCTGCCAGTATCAATTAACATGAAGACTTAAGAACTGTAATTTTCAGTATATTTGAAGAAGGTTGTACTTTACTCCACTAATTCATAGTAACACAATACACGACAGCACTGTTAATTTCCCTCATCCTAATTGATTCCCCATCATTATCAGGCTTTGACTAACACCCTGATATAGTCTCAAGAGAGGAGCTGTGATTTATCTCTCTTACTGAACAAATTGTAACTTCACCTTAAATAATTTACTATCAAACCACAGGACAAGGGCATAAATCCATCTGGATTAATAATGAACCCCTAACAGGACTTTATAGTTCATAGGCAAGGTTAAAAATTGTTCCATAGCAGATCAAAAGGCCTGCTTTTCATCACTTACAACTGCTTTAAGTTTCTGCTTTATGAAAAAAAAATAAAAAACATTAGGTCTTTATCCCCATCAATTAATTTAGTTCATTTGCACAGCCCGCCAGCCATATGAAAATACAAGCTAGAAAATAAACTGCTTTATTGCTCAGTCAATAACAGAAAGAGTATCAGTGACATTGTACCTGGTTTCCTTCACCTGGTTTGATTTCCTCTGTATTTCACCTTGTCAGTTATTGCTTATGATTCTATTCCCTCCTCCACTTATTTTTAATAATTTCTCTGAGATCTTATTCCTCAAAATAATTTTTCAAATGATTCTCAAGATTTTTATAAGTTCTCAAAAGCTACTAGTATATTCTGATGTGATATACTGCTGTGGTGATAAAAACTGTTCTAGATCTCCACTTTTATTAGTTTCATCTTTACTGTACATCAGTCATTTCTCAGTAATTTATCTTTTATTTATTGTCCTAACATAATTTCAAGACAGAAGAACATTAGAATCACCAGAAATAAGTTCTGTGTCTGCTCAGTTACTCAGATTTCATTCTTTGAACCTGAACTATGTAGGTATAAATTCAGTGCTACTCCATGACCCTAGCAGCCTTATTCTTGATTCCCATTTTAATTCTGAAGCAGCATCTTTCATCAAAACATGTTTTTCTCTTAGAAAAACAGAGAAACACATAAGAATGCTTTTTCATGCATGATCCAAATTACTTTAGCACTTTTAAATTGCCACTGATATTAGAAAATAATGGATAGTTTCAGTCCATTAAAGAAATCAACTTAGTTAATAACTCAAATACAATTATCATAGCACCCACTAAGAAGAGCTGGGTATCTTCCACCTATACTACTGTGGAAAACACAATCTAATTACTTTTTGCTGTGGTACAACTGTGGCCAAACACTGATTTTAAAAGGATGTGAAAGTAACATTTCTGGCTAAAGTCTAAATCCTCAACACCTTCTCTAGTTATACTAAAAATAATACATACAAGCAATATATCAAAGTAAGGATCTTACCTCTTCCTCTTAGCCAGAAGGCACTATTTCGTCTCAGGTAGATCCTTTCTAAAAGCCTCATCAAGGCTTCTTAACACAGTAGTTTATACTGAGCAAAGCTGAAGGACTGACATGCTCTGTGCTGCTTAATTCAGAGCAGGTGGTTAACTACCAAAACATGACCATCCATAAGGGCCCAATGTCTAGGAATATTTGACTCAGCTCACAAGACAGGCTAGAAACCCATGGTGTGCAAAATAATGTGTGTTCCTTCCTTAGTTATTTACATTCTTTTCCCTAGCACAGCTGTAGGTCAATCAGAAAACCAAAGAATTCACAAATGAGTGTTGTATGCCAAACTGAAGGGAAATTTAGACACCAAGTCCTGCTGGGAAGTTGTACAGCAACCTGCAGCAGTAAGATGAGTTTACAACCATTTCACCCAGGCCTTCCCTACCTCATACTGGACACCCTTTTCTAAGAGTGCCTAGAACATTCCATTGTTCCCTGAAGTCTCTCTGAGATGAGCTACTTTTCTAACAGTTCAACAAGTAGTTCTCCCAGCCACACTGAAGGCTCTGCTTGCCACACTACTCTCCATCTATTGCTTCTTCTCAGTTTACCCCTTTGTCCTTGCCAGTCACACTTTTCTGTTCCACCTTATCTTCCTTCAGTAGCTTTCCCTCAGGTGAAGCCCAAAAACCATAGTTCCCCCAGTGATCCTGCACAACACTCCCTTTCAACATAATTTTGTTTTAGAGTATGCTTCTACAGCAGGAAGTCTAAAATCTGAAAAAAAAAAATAAAAAAATAAAAAATAAAAGGTTCATTTTATCATGGTACTTTATCACAGAAGAATATGCTTTGAACATTTGCAAGTCTAAAAATGTTTCTCACCTATATTGTATATTGAATGTGATTACCTGCATATATAGACATACACAAGACAGTTCATGAACAGAAAGAAGTTGCCACTTAGAATCATACTGCAACCCACTGCACCACCAAAGCAGTAA